CCCGGGGTCCCTAGGGGGTGACTAGGTCTATGCATATACATATCGACCTCGGAAGATCAGACACGCCCTATTTTGTTGTACGACCGACGTAACCCAAAAGAAAATACCAAACATCCACAAAATCCAGGAACAGCCGCTAACGCTATGACCAAAAGGCCCATTTTTCTGTCTCTTGTGTCGCAGATTCCACTCTGATGTCACCTTTCTCCCGGGGAAATTGAGCACTGGCCCACTGATGTGCCTTTCTCTCCCGCCAAGGTAAATAGTCACAGATAAGTCAACACTAGCTCGTCTCAGCCTGCTGTGGGAGTTTGACTGAAAATCCCGGTGACACCCAAATCCTCCGTACCGGAGTGGCGTAGAAGCTAATGCAGATGACCTTAAAGCATTGCGTTGCCCCATGCTCCACTAGGAGGCGACTCGGTATAAAGGAAATAGCACTCCGCGCGGAGTATGTTGTAGATGGATACGGGCGACGTGGACTAAAACAACACGTCCTTGAATCTCCATCTCTTGTTCTAGTCTCGGCTGCCTTCCGAAGACTCAAAATTGCGTATCTGGCTCTATTTGATGGAATTTGATTCGGGTGATTACTATCAATATTAGACTCTGTTACTCTGTATTTACCAATGCATTTACCAAATCATTTCAATTATCACGTCGTGACATGCATATTCTAGTAGAGTTAACTACATACAAGTTAGTATATCACAGTTTCATATTTAATCATTCAATAGTCATCTCCAACTACGTCTCTAGGAAAGGCTTCACTGGAATCTCTACTTATTTAATTCACGGTATAGCGGCGGGGATAAAAATCAATTATTTAAACATGGAGGTTCAGATATATATTTTAGAAGAATGTAGTACTGTAGTTCGTCGCGCTTAACGTTCAGATAATGAAGGCCTACTAACTACAAGGGTTCCAGGCGCCTTGTCTAGGAGGATTCTTTAGAGACTGTGTGACTACAATTATGATAGTACACGTTGAGAAATGGACTCTACTGGCAATGTTGTATGTACTAGTCCAAGTGGGTTTTATGGAACCCAAGAATATTTCCGCTGCCGAAACTACAAAAGTCCCAAGGTGGGATTAGCTCCCCTCCACAGGGATCCAAAGCCGCGACTAATTAGGAAGTGGTATGGTGATCATGTTGACCGCTTTTAGAGTGGGTGGGCTAATCCCACATACAACATACAACTTACACCGGAGTTTAGGCCTAGATGGCTTTGCCTTTCCGCTCCAGTGCTCATCCCGTGCCGCTTTTTGCCCAATGAGCACGCCCCTGAGTATTACATAATCATCAAACTCGCCCACCTCGCATCACCTGATCATTACATAAGCTCACACCACGCTTCGGGTTGATATGAACCTTCCAATCTTCGTCTTTCTGCTCCTTGGCTGTCCTAACGGATGGGCCTCGGTTCAAGTTGGAGGGCTGCCGCTGTATCCGGTTCATGCAGAAGTAGAAACCATGGTCTTCACGGCTGCATATTCTTCAGGCCCTTGTTGCTCCATACCAAAGAGCAGGGTCGTCAAAGTTGTCCTTGGACCCATCAAGCAGTCCACCCATAACCCGAATACAGAATGCTTCTTCAGACTTGTCTCTTCGGTCGTAGCAGTGGGTAGAGCACCTGCATCAATCTTAATATTGCGTGCGAAGTTCAGACACCCTAAAGTTCAGGCACTCAGGGAAGTGGGGCCCCAGATGGTTATCTTAGATCTCCGCTTCTTTAAAATCTCGCCTGTTATAATACTCCGTACGGAGTACTCCGTAGATCAAACCGAATTGAGAAGTGTAGATAAGTTACTTATATTCTGTGCTATCATTGGCCGGGGTATCAATATTCTACTATAAGTTAACCACCCTTCTTTTCCCAAAATTCCATTAAACGCGGCGCCTTTATTGAGCGCATGAATCTAAATCTGGTTACAGCACGATTAAATGTTGTAATATGACGTTAAAACAGAATAAATACTATGAGACTAGAAAGGATCGGTCACTATAAACTGAAATAGTAAGCTTAGGAAGAGAGCCAGGGGAATTGAACAACCATGGCTGGCTATGTCCTGGTCAAAAAAGTGGCGAGAGGCTGGATCTCGTGCTACAAAAGGGACGCAATGGGTCTACTGGAAAAGGCCTACAGATGCCCAAGTGACCGGGATTGAGCCCGTAGCTGGCACAGAGTGGAGGATCTATAGTACATAGTCGGGTGCGGAATGCTGCAGCTAATCCTCCTTGTGCGGGCCAGACCTCAGTCTCTGTCTTCCCCTTCTGGAACAGACCTTCCTGTCAGTGGGATTATGCATCCTGCACACTCTCAGGCCCTTTCCGCGTTCCCCACCAGCCAGATGTTCGGAACTGACTTGCAGGTGGCGTTGTAGTACAGCGACATGGCCTTTTCCTGACACGAAGTGAAGAAGCAAGCCCGCCAAAGCAGAAACCAGCAAAAGCAACCACGGTGGAATATCACCCATCCCCAGCAATACACCCGAAAGCAGCCGCATCAGTGTAACCAGAAGGCCTTGGTACAATCGGGGGCAAGAAGCAGATGAAACAGAAGCCACCAACCCCGAAATCACCGACTCCTGATCTCCCTGAACCAAAAAGTCCCTCCTCACTACTACCTCACAAGCAATAACCGCAGCAACCGCAGCAACCGCCCGTGGACAACGATGAAATAACAGACGATGACACAAATGACGAGCCGCCCAAGCCCCAACCCAAGACAACCACCAAGGCCACCACGAAACCACCCTCCAAGCCCCGCGATATTCAGAGCGTGTGGGCAAGTGATTCTCTTTTCCATTAGTAGGGTGCTCGGTTGCTAAGTTTTTGCTGAAATTGATGACCAGGGTCCTAATGTCCCTGCCCAAAGAGGCGGCTCCTTGGTGGCTCCGTTCTTCCTATTCAGCGATCCTTTGCCTAATCACAGAGACAAGCCCTAGGAATTCATCTCCTGTAGTCTTTATCTGAGCAGTGCGAGATGCCACTGCATCAGTTATGTGGCTTTGGAGCTCCACACTTAGCTGGGTTTTGGAAAATTCATGGGTCGGAGAGGCGGGGGAGTATCCCGTCCAGGCACTGGCCGCCTATATTTTGGTTTTCTGGGGCAGGGTTGGGTCGCCTTGATCTTGCTTTGATGGCTCTGGTCCAGCCTGGGTTGGTGATTGATGGGGGTTGATGGGGATGAGGGGAGTTGCGTTCGGAGTCACACGGACCTCTGGGGCATCTCCCATGTCGGCATCTCCAGTGTGATTAATCGGCTCAGGCTCTTTCTCTTGTCTCTGTTTCGTGGCGCCCAGGTGATAATGTGCTTGAGTAGCAGGGGCTGTTCTTTTCTTAACACCCATGGTGCTGGCTGCCCCGCTGCATGTGCGCAGAGGCATGTTTTGGCACAAACCTGCTTACCTCTGAAAAAAGAGGACGAGTGTGACTCATATCATGTGCATTTGGTAATACCCCAGCAGCCCCCAGCTCTGCAGCGAAGCTTTTTTTTTTTCCCACAAAATCGTATCAAGTCGCGAAAGGCTTGTAGCAGCTGCTGAAAGTGTGACAGTCAGCAGAAGCCTGATCAGATCCATCAAGAAGCATCAGGTAATACTACTCTATAATGTCTGAATTACTCCTATGTATTTGCTGCTGCTTCTCATACTCATTGAACTATAAGGCAGAACCAGTCTTTTGTGAAACATCTGGTAGGCCGGTTTCAAAAGTCCATTCGCAGTCATTGTCGTATCCCTGCGCGATTCTCTCAATATCGACGACAGCATCCTACGCCGCCAACGTCCTCCTATATCTTTCCTCTCCATCATCGATATTAATAGCATCCAGGTCTTCCTAGCGCCTAGTATCGCACTCGTAACGCAGAATAGACCTCAGTATATCTAACAGTTCCCTCCTCCACTCAGGTTAATGACCCCTAGACAGAGGTACCGCGACGTACTCAAAGTACGCGGGTATGATATTAGCTATCTCCTAGTCCAGGAAACCTGTTACTGTGAGTATATAGGGGTCTATAAGGATATTCCGGTTAGATAAGTCCCTATATAAGAGGATAGGACAGTCCTAATCACCTATACCGGTAGTATCACGCTATACTCGCTTAAGGGTAACTATACGTTCTACGTCTAGGGTAGAGGCCTATAGTGTATAGACGTATGAGTTATCCTACTCTAAGCAGGAGGTGTAATATATATATATCTCTATACTGAATTTAGAGAAGAGGAGGTATAGCTACTATATAGGCCGGCTATAGTAAGAGAAGTAGTACGTACGTATATATATAAGGAAACGGTAGAGCTCCGCCTTAATAGTCTAGCGCTTCAGAGGGGTAAGTAAGGGCCAGAGCTTAACTAGCGGTATACCCGGCTAATAAGTAAGGACAAGGCCCTATTAGGTACAGTTAGGCATCAAGGTATCGGAGGTTATTCTTAGAAGTATAATAACGCAAATAACGCGTGGGATATAGGGGCCTAGGATAGAATAGGTAAGTGTAGTTATCTTACCTTCGCTATCGTTAGTACCCAGTTTAAGGATAGTAGAGGGAGAATAAGTAAAAAACTGGCGTCTAACTTTTAGAACAGTCGGCCCTAAGAATAGAGGGAGGCTGGGGAGAAAGGCCTAGTTCTCCCGAGGAAGCTGCTCTGGTTCCTAAGAGCTCTCGTCATATAGTGTTATGTTAAACGGCGATGTGTAGAGAGCAGTCCAGAGTATCAGGCAATATTAAGGGTTTACTTAGTTAAGTAACCTGGTGCTAAAGTGCGATGTCCTCTGAGGAAGATAATTGATTGATATCTATCTATGCGAACCCCAATGGTAGATATAGCCGAGTCCACCGGACCGAGATTCCTCCGGTCAGGGATGAAATGAGCGGGTAGCTCAGGATCGGGGAAGTCGGGGAGTCGATTATCTGAACTGCACGAGGCTTATAGGCGAGATATTTAGTGCTGCCATTTCACCAAGTCGCTGGATACTTTTCTGACTTCACTTAGGGCTATGATCAACGACGCGTTAGGAATTTGGTCGGTTGATTCGAATGCACATAAGAACGAGATCGCTCGCACTACTTTCCTCAAGGGAAACTTGTTGGCGGCAATGGGCAAAATGCAAAAAGCTTCTATTGCCTTAAGAGTTGCTTGTCGCCTGAGGAAGGAGATCACCGAGGAGGATCGACTTTTGAAGAACTTGACGATGAAAGACTTTGACGAGATCGTTGCTTTTTGGGCCCGTTAATGAGCGTTGTTCTTCCTTTCTTTTATCTTCTTCTTCTTTTTATATGCGGGAACAGATTCTTGCAGTTACACAGATATCAGATTGAATTGGAACTGTTCCATTCCGATATTTAAAATGCCACATCGAGGCCGTACTTCTCGTAATCAAAGTCTTCCAGACTAGGTATACTTTCTGCCCAGCCATCATCAATCTCTCCTAGCTGCCAGTCATCTCCGATCTTAAATCTTCCTGATCTCCCAGCCAGGATATCTTTATGCATCGGCTGATACTCGACCGCCACATCTGGATGCGGTACCCAAACAACTCTCATACCAGCGCGTCTCCCAGCCTCTACACCAGCGATGCTATCCTCGAAGACTAAACATTCATTGGGTAGGATAGCCTTTTCCTCAGAGTCTATTCCCGAGTTCAAAGACTGCAACGCGAGCAAATAAATATCGGGCGCTGGCTTCCCTCGACCCCGTCGCATTCGTGGATCATCACCCAGGATTCTCCTGTCCGACCGAAAGAAGCTCAACAGTAGTTTCGATTCCGGCCCCGCAGTTTTCAACTCATAACTACGGGTCTTGGTGCTGGAAGCCAAAGCCAGCTGAATCACGTCCCCAGACGAAGCACTCCGTGCACGGCTTAGATTCGATAGAATCTTCTCCGCGCCAGGCAACGGCCTGCAATCCGGGAAAAATAGTCGCATGCCCTCGCTTGATTCACGGGCGAATTTCTCGCGGGAGATAGGTAACTTGGCCCAGTGGTGGAATATATCGCCATTTGTCGAGTCTGCGACACTCATGAGCTGGGCTCGAATCGACGGAGTCAACGGAGGCCTTCCGTACCTTTCCAGCAGTTGGTTCGTGGATAGACTGATTATGTCTTCAGAGTTGATGAGGAGCCCGTCCATGTCGAAAATGCAGGCGCGGACTGCGGGGAAGCTGGTGGTCTGTGTTAGCTTCGCGGATTACAGAATTCGTATGTTGACTTTAATGCCTCCGCTAATTGTCGTATATAGATGCACATGTTCGAGGTCACTCACTCTGGATTAGGGGGAGCCATGAGAACCGAATGTCAAACTTTGGTCCCGATTGATGGCAGAGCGGAGTTGGGATTTAGTCGAAAAGCCCAGCTCGCCTTCGCGACCCCAATTCCCGAAGGCCTGGAGGGGTTAGACACCATACATTTCGAGGTATCTTTTGTATGCGTTTCCCGTATAAAAGGTACATATTCTCCGCTAAAGTCGTAGAACGCGGATCTGAACTATAATATTCTAGGATGAGGAGACACTGACTTCTTAGAAAACCCTGTCACTCGATACCAAGCCAGTAATCTAGTGTAATAGCAACCACCATGGCGGTGCAGAAATGTGGTGTGTCTATCTTTATAAGTCGAGGTTACTTCCAAGGTTCTAAAACATCGTCTTGCACTATTTGAAGTAAGTCAACATGAATGATATCAATATTTAGGGCCGCTCCAATTCTGAATCGATCACGCACCTGCGCTGTGCGCTGTTGGCTGTTTTTAGTTCTTGTGTTAGCCCGTACACAGCCCCGCGCTAGTGGACTGACGTCCTTTCTAATTCGTACTCTTTGATATCGCACATCACTTTTCAACCCTATGGTTTCGTTACTTGAATTACCCAATGAGTTGTTACTCTTGATAAGTACGAATCTGAAATCCGAGGCGGATCTCTCGCACCTACTACAGGTGAACTATCACCTATACGACCTTCTTCTTGCCCGTCTGTATCAACAAAATGTGAAGTGCTCGAAAAGCCAAGGCTTAAATGTGTTGCCAAGGAAAATGAAAGAGGCGTGCGGCATTTCCTCTACTGGGGGGCCTATGTGGATGTCCCATCCATGCCAGTTAAAAAACCAGAACCGATTCGCCGCTTCCCACCTCGGTTTCTTGGGCCTCTACCTCGGACCCCTCTTCCGGCCCCTGGGTCCCCATATCGCATTTCACCTAAACTTCCATCTGATTTCGAAAGAGAGACACCCCTGAGCATAGCCGTGAGCGCTGGAAATGATGCTGTAGTAAGGCTGCTCCTGAATCACGGGGCTCAATTGAACGACTGTGTGGGCGAGCAAACCTGGACCCCATCAACCCATCCCGCGGTTAGTGCGCTTCTCGCAGGCCATGAGAGTACCCTCGGGATACTTCTTGAATGGGGGGCTCAAACAGAAGGATGCAACCTGTTATTCGGAGGATTGATCAATTGTGCAGTGGCTTGCGGTCGAATGCCGATGCTGAAGCTTCTCATCAGATCCGGCGTTGATGTAAACGCTAAAATCAACGAAATATGTCCGTTACTTTGGGCAGTGCGCAGAGAGCCAAACTATGCATCCATGGTGGAAGTCCTTCTCGATAACGGAGCGAGCATTGCCTTGGTTGATGATCACAAAGGGAAATTGCTACGCACAGCAATGGAAAATGGAACTATCGAAACAGTTGATGTGCTTTTGAAGCATGGAGCAAACTATCACGAGAGCTTGTTCTATTCGGCTGTAAAGGGATACACTCTCGAGACAGTCCGTCTGCTTCTAGATCATGGAGCTGTGGTTAATTTCGAATCCTTAATATGCGCGGTAAAGTCTAATGATTGCGATATATTGGAGCTGCTTCTTGACCATGGATTTGATCGCAATCGAAGGGATTCTAAGGGATGCACTATTTTGCACCGCGCTGTTCGCCTCTATTAAGGCATTTCACTCCAAACATAGGGATTCCCACTCCAAACATAGGGTTGAGCACCATCTGCAGCCGTGGCCCGAGTGCACCGGTTTTCCATTGTCCACCGGTATCTAGTGCACCACATGTCGCAGCGTATTTGCCGACGCCAGGGAGATCGCGACGGAACCGCAGAAGAAATCGTGAGGTGACTTATCGGACGTGGCGCGGATGTGAATGCTATGGATTGGAAGAGGCAAACACCACTTTACTTCGCTTGGAAATATGCTTCACCTGCTGTGCAACAGCTACTGTTGGAAAATGGGGCTGATTGGGCGGCCATGTTGATGATGTACTGAGAACAACCGAGAAAGATAGTTTCTCCAGTAACATTCCATCTCCATGAACGATCTTAGCGTCTATATAAGGTATATTGTAGGTTTATGCTTTGGGATAGTATTCTCTCTGTCCTGCCGATCTCTGGTATAGCCAAGCTACAATAATATATGAGCAAACAAAAATCACCATGTCATGTGCCAGTCAAAAATCAAGGAAGCTGCAGCTGACTACTGCATCGTTGCGCCGATGTTCTAAATGTTAGATATGCAGCTCAGTGATTGACCCAGAGGATGATTTGAATATTTGAACATATTTCTTGCAGCTTCGAACGGGGCAGAGTCCCAAGTCGCACCAACTCGTTCATACGATAGAGGCTGGCGAGTCATATAGTGAAGAATTCTTGCCGTTTATTTCTTCTCTATACGGGCTAATTTTAGACTTGGTGTCATGTGCCGTATACTGACATGTGTTTTGAGATTTATTTATTTATTTATTTATTCATGATCTGATACGAGAGAAAAAGGTGATCAATTCCAAGCATTATTCTGCCAGTCGGCAATTTTATCCAGCAACATCATAATTATCACGTTGCTATACACAGTAGCAAAACCCAATGAAGCATAGTCTTGAATGATGGATATTGTCTCACATGAAGGCCAATTGAATCTGAGTTTAATGAACCCCTCGTGTTGACCCTCGTATTGATATGACGTTGGGAGAGACATCGACCACGGCAGAAATAGAAAATCTGGGGTAGTGATTAATGGTCTGAGCTTGAAACATCACTATAAACCGGTGTAGATGGCTTCGTATCAGGTCATCTGGCCGTGTGTTCCACGGTTTGCCCTAGAGTTGACGCATTTGTATGTCTTGGTGTGTGATGTATATATAGACACCGACAGAAGGTCTTACTGAATAACTTCTCTAATCAACTGAGCACACTCTGTTCTCGCATAACTAAGACCTAAATATCTACGCCAGGAAGATGCATCTCTGGAAGGCTTTTATTCTTACCCTTGCTCACCTCGCCCTGAGCCGTATGTATCCCAACAAACACCTACATTGGCCCCCACCCTACTAACCACACCTTCCCTCAAAATAGAAGCAGCAGCTTGTCCAGCAGGAGGATGTGGTAGTGCCCCGGCTTGCGTTCTCACCGAGACATGCACAACAGCAACCTTTGTCTCACCCTCCACAACGACTATCACAACCTGTGTCCCAACACCCACTTGCGCGGGAGTCTACTGTAAGAATGAGAGACCACATCCAATCACAACGTTGAACGTACCTCTAATTAATACTAGCATCCTGTGAGTTCGGCACCCCGAACAACCAATGCTGCTCGGGCTACTGCGCTGCCAACAAATGCCGATCGACAGATGATGGGTGGCCGTCTTGTAGCGAGGACAATGGGCCTTGCGTTGTCGACGAACACTGCTGTTATGGGAATACCTGCACCAATGGGATTTGTAGCCGGACTTGATGATTCAGAATCGCCGATGCCGACAGCAAGTGTACTCGGAATCAGTTAATGGCTTCCAATGTTATATTGAATTAAGGCTCGACGGTTTATTTTAGGCCGCATGAGTTTGAATGCCTAACCTATGAGTCAAGCGTAATATATCCATGTATTTGTGTAGGCAAGAACAACGTATGTACTCACAAGGCCGACACCTCGGCCCGCTCAGTAAACGTCTTCATAGCAGTTCGCCACAACTCCGGCCCAATACTAATCCTTGCAACGCCCAACCCCCGAATCTCGTTCACCCTCAGTAATGCCGCTCTCAAATTCATTGTCACATTAACTATACCCTTTAGGGAACAAAGTCAGGAACCCCAGCCTTTCTGCCGCCTGAACAACAAATAACCACCCCAACCCATGCCGTAGCCTCATCTACCGATCGCAGCACGCCAGTCGCGTCTATATCTTCCAGATTATACCTTACAGCACCTATAGCGATTACCTGCGTAATGATATCTGCCAACTCGGAGACATCACCGTGTCCATTTTGCATGCCGACGGTCAGTGGCTTGGTAGGGTTCATAGCGCGAACGGCGATTGCGGCTATCGCGGTCAGATCTTGGGGTTTTGTTAGGGCGTTATCGTCGGCGCCGATCACGGCGGCGATCCCATAGGACCCTGTTGCGATCGCGGGGGGTGTTGGTAGTGAGGCAATCATGGAGGCTGTTGGGATGAGGCTGTTAGGATGAGGCTGCGGAAGTTTGGCGATGTCGTTCTGGGATGGGTTAATTTTGGGTTAATTTGGGGTGCAGAATTGGACTATTGAGATTTGTAGATTTATTCCAAATTCATAGAGTTCTTAATCCGATTATCAACTTCAAAGTTTGATAATGTCCTGAGCCATTGAATACGAGGTAGAAATGATGACGAAGAGGATTTTCGGAGCCGACAGTTCTGCACGGATCTACGCAGATCGAGCAAGGCAAACAATGGGCAATGGTTATTATTTCCCCTTGTCTCAGACTAGACAGTTGGAGAATAAGCCGGATGGCGCAAGGGATCCACGGTATTCCCCTCTCCGGCTTATGAAGAATTACACTTGCCCAGCTTGAGTAGACCATGCAGGTCATTTGTGTACACTGCTTACACTGCTTATACTGAACTCGCGATGTAACTGTAACTTGATCTTATTCGGGTTTGCCACTGTCATTTAATTTGGGTTGATTGGGATCGACTCGAATTGACCAGTCCAGCACCCAACATGGGGGCGAAGCTGCAAAGGAACAGAAAGAGTAAAAGGATAAGGAATAAAAAAGGAATAAAAAATAAGAAGGGCGTAATACGGAGTACAATATACACCCCGGAGCCTAGTGGCTTGCTCTCCATTGCTCCATTGGGATGCATAAATGGACCTTCCATGCAGCTGTGAAACTCGAGATCCAATAAGGAAGAGGAACTCAAGGTGGCATTCACTCTATAGCCTGGGGGATGGCCATGGAGACGACCACTCTATGGTGATTTGCAACGTTCGGGCCCGGGTCATCTCATAGTCGAATGCAAGAAAGGCTAAAAGTACCCCGTAGCCAGAATAGGAGCCCGATAACATGTGGTACGAGGAATTGGCCCCGTTTCTCGTTAGCCTATCGAAAGGAGTAAGAGTCCGTAGCAAGCCCACTAGTCCGATGTAGGGCGAAACACTGAATGGTAACACACTTGAACTGGGACCTTTCGGGTTGGCTATCCGTGCCTGGGTGCATATGAACGAGGGGCAAACCAAGTTGTGGCATTCCTGAGGTATCTCGGGGAAATGATGAGTACCCCCGGGTGATTTTTGGAGAAAGAATGGAATGTTTTTCTCCCAGGGTTTTGGTTTCAGCTGTGCTCTGTTGAATCAACCCTCGCCGTTAGAGCAGACATGCTGTCAGAGTTCTTTAACAAAACGTAGTTACGAACCTTTAATCTATATTGAAGTCAAATGAGACCCGACCGCACCCGCATCGGTAAACAAGACTGGACTCGGGAAGCCCCGTGATGGAGCATCGCTTTTTTTCTCCTCACGGTAATTGTATTGTAATAGTAAATGGCTAGATTGTGAGTAGTCGGCTGCGCTTGGTACGATTGGGTATACAGGTGTAGGCCAAGTCTACGGAGTAGTTGAGTGTATATTGTAGTTGACTATATATAAGTTGTAGGATATAAGTAGGTACTTATGTAGTTGTGGGTTTCGGAGAACAAAGGGGAAAGAAGGAAAAAGGAAGAAAAGAAGTTTACAAGTTGGACTTGGAGTCAGAACAAAGGCCGATACAGTATCAAACAGAGTGGACTGGAGGAAATAGAGCATTAGGAGTACGGAGTAAGATATGTTCAATTCTTAAATACTATACATACTAGCATAAGCACATTTGCACATTCGTACTTCGTACTTCCTTATAGGAGAATACTCCGTACATGGACAATTAATTAAAGAAAAAGAAAAAAAAGGAAAATCGGGAAAATCCCCTGTAATTTTACAAGGAATCGCCGTCAGCTCTCCCCACTCTCTCTCCGACGCTTCGCCTTGCTCTTGGCCTTTCTGCCCTTCTCCTCATCTTTCTTCTTCTTCACTTCTCTGTCTATACCATTTGCATCTTACATTCTGCATTGATTCCTCTTATTCCATATTTTCAACGCCGATCTTATGGCGTATGGTTTTACCTCATTCCCTCGTGCAGTTGGCCGCCTGACCTGCAGCTCTCACGCTGCCATCCGACCCTGCTCACAATCTCGAATCCCTCTCCCTTCCTCCCTACCCTGACCTCTCCTCCACTCCCATAATGTCGACCAGTCTGAATATTCCCCCGACCGGGCTGTCTCTCCACCTCGGAGATGAGTCCGGTGATCCTTCTGTCAAGCCAAATCAGATCATGCGATTGAATTTGGTGCAGAGCACCCTCGATGATCTGATCCAGAGCCTACGGAAGGATCAACCGGCTCGAGTCCGGCTGGGAAAACACCCGTCACTTCACTACGGAGGCAAATCTCAAATGTTCCATGCCTACCCCGAAACGCACCGATCCGAGATCTACCACAGCTCATCCGATAAAGAGACACTGTACTTCACCGGGGTGTTGAGCCATAGCCTCGAGGTGGAAAAGGCTAAAAATGCCACTGCGGCCACCGATCAGGCGCTGGCAGATTTGGAGGAAAAATTGAATGCCCATGAGCGGGGAAAGGAGTCGAAGAAGACTCACATCATCTCACACCCTGATGAGTTGAAGGCTCTTCGGGGCAGCAAGTCAGGCTACAAAGGTCCCACCACCAAAATTGAGCTCGAGAAAGATCGTTTCCTCAAGACTGCTGCCAATCGTTCCCTCACTGCTAGTCCTATCTTGGGTGCTCCCAAGTCTCCTTCTTTTGCAATGACTCCAACATCGGCTCCAATGATGGAGAATAAAGACCATGCGAGGCTTGAAGCCCTCAAGGTTCCCTTCATTCACCTTCTCGCTGTCCGTGCCGTCTCGGCCAAGTTCCTTGCCCGCCAAACCCGCACCACCGTCGACGATTGCACCGCCCTCGGCGAGAAATTCGGAGTTCTGAACCGAATCAACCCCGAGAAATATGATCTCAAGGACAAAGTTTACAAGGATCTTGATGTGTTCGGTTTCAATTACACCGAGGAGGACCGGAAAGAGGCCATTGAGAATTCTATCTCTGCCTTCGATCGCATGCGCATCTCTCGGTCCGACAAACTTTGGCAAACACTTCTTCCAAAGGCTGAACGAGGCAAGGGTAAGTGCCTTTCGCGTTTGAACCTTCGTACTGGTCCACCCCAGAAACCTGCCGCACCATCCGCCAAAGCCAATGGGGAAGATTCGGGCAAGGACAATGAGACCGACCGCGCTACAAAAGGATCCGCGCCTGCTCCCAAGACTGCTTCGGCCTCACAAAAGGCCCGCGACAAGGACCCGACCAAGCGGTCTACCAAACCCAAGAATACCAACAGTACCCTCACCGGACGGGTTACGAAGAAGACTGGTGGGAAGGCCCCAGTCAAAGTGGACAGCAAGATCAAGTCCGCAGAATTCGTACACAGTTCGGACGAAGATGATGATACCGACATGCAAGATATTTCCCCTGCCCCCGCCCCCGCTCCCGCGCCTGCACCCAAGCAGCAACCGAAGGAACACAAGCGGACTCCATCCAATTCGAAGCCCCCAGTACCGAAAATCAAGGCACCGGCCAAGGCTCGCACCACCGATACTCCCTCAGTCTCATCTAGTCCTGCTCCTGCTTCCAAGAATAAACCCGAGACATCGAAACCTAAGCTTGAACCATCCAAACCGGCCACCAAGGTTACAGGTTCCAAGCGTCCTCCCTCTCGGCCCTCGACTTCACCGCAGAAGCCGTCTCCACTCGGCTCCTCCCCTCCTTCCAACGTGTCCGACTCTACCAGTAGCAACCGCAGCCGAGCGGACAGCCAGAACCAATCCTCCGGTTCATCTTCATCTTCGCCTCTCATCACCCAGCTGGCCAAACCCAAAGTGGGCCGTGCAGCCCCTGCCGCAGCCAAACCTGCCAGAGCTACTCCACAGACCAACGGCATCGCGAAGGCTACCTCCACTACCACAAACCCATTGAAGCGCAAGGCCGAATCTGATCAATTGTCCGCGCCCCAGGCGGGACGTCCTACTGGAAACTTGGAAGCTAAGCGTCGCCGAGCGGTGAGCTCCTCCAGCGGTGGCAGCACAGGTAGTGCATCTCCACCAATGAGCTATGAAATTCTGAGACAGCAGCTGCGGGAGAAATCTCAGAAATTCAAGAACTTTTACACAAAGTACCGCAACCTACATGACTCCCTTGCAGCGCTCCCCAATCCACCTCAGGTCGACCTCGACAAGCTGCAAAAGCAGCACATTCATCTACAGCGCATGAAGAAGGAAATCTGGGACGAAGATCGGCAGCTTCGTGATGGCCTTCATTCGTAATTTAATTTCGTTATTCTCTTCTATCCCATCTGCATGACCAGTTCGCCCTCGGAAGGGTGCCAAATGAACCGACAGCACGGCGTTTGTATGTTTATCTCTCATATTTCTCATCGTTACCATAGCAATTCATATTATTATGACCCATTTTCCTTCCATGTTCTAGCACTTTGCTTTCGGATAGCTAGGCCACCAATCAGCACAAACAATTAGTCGAAAGCCATATTGACCTCTGAAACCAATGAGACCTCACAATAGACAAAATATCAATACCTCAGTCTCACCTCATTTTGTAGTCAACAAGCACTGGAACCAGCTTCCGGCCGATCTTCACTTTACCCCAGATCGACCAAAACGCCATCTGCAATCTGCTAGTCCCAACGAGGTATTGTGGGCCCTGTTCCATTGAGCGGTGTAGCACGTGGCAGTGTCACGGGATTACCTAGTGAATCAGATGCACGTGATTGTAAGAGTAGACGTCATTTGGTCGCTCAATGAACTATTCCCAGTTGGGTTTAGTCTCGAGGCCATTCGAACTTGCTGGCTCGGAGCATCAGACATAGCAATTGATACATACACGGTCAATTATCTCTTCTATGTTGGAAAGTGCCGGCAAATAATTACAAACAAACATACTCAAGCGCTTATTCTAAGCTCGTTTGACAATGACTCCGCCGGCCCGAGGACGAGGGACTAGCCAGCGCAGCCCAACCGTCTTGGTAGGATTGACTATCAAATCAACCGTACAACCAAGCTCAACTAACACATATTTTTAATACAGGTCACAGATTCAAGAGACCAGCAACAGCCCCAGATACCGCGACGACGCCGCTCGCCCGCAACCCGGTTCATCACCGTCGACAACGTCCTCCAATACGCCTCTGACGTCCCTTCAATGCAGCAGCGCGGCCCACCACCAATCTCACGGGCACGCCGTCTTGCCTCCGCATCTGGAGGCTTGATAACCAGCTCAGGCAGCAGCGCAGTAGCAGGATCCGGCGGCACGATGGGCCGACTCGCTGCGCAACCGCGACTCCCGCCTCGAACAACGAAAGTCAGTGAAAAGCTGGTTCTTCTGCCTGACACCGGCGAACTGGAGGAGGGCGAAATTGAAGAAGACGATGACTCCGATGGTGCCGACCTCGTGGACGAGGAGCTTGTCGCGCGTCTAGCCAAGGAGAAAAATATCGACCCGGAAAGGATCAGACGCCAATTGCTTGTGTCGAAGCGACTTGGGGGTGATTTCGGC